GAAAGAAAAGAAAGAAAGAAAGAAAGAAAGAAAGAAAGAAAGAAAGAAAGAAAGAAAGAAAGAAAGAAAGAAAGAAAGGCTTGCTTTCCTATAATTTATTTATTTTTAAGTCAAGTGTCACTGCGATGAGGAGTCAAGAAAGCATGAACCTGCTCCGCAGACATTACTGGAAACTCATCTGAGCGTGCAAAACATTTTCGGCATATTGACAGAAAACTGACACTAATTCCTTTAGAGGAAGAAATTGAACAGAAACGTATCCTATCCTGAACTCTTTGAGTGGTAATGGGATTTTAAGAGAACGGACTATTCATGGTATATTAAACAGCCTTTTCCCCCCTTGAAGTAGGCTGTGTTTACTGTTTTTATTTATATATGTGTGTGTGTGTGTGTGTGTGTGTGTGTGTGTGTGTGTGTGTCTCTCTCTCTCATGTCACTGGGGGGGGAGGGAGAAAAAGAAAATTAATACACATTTTAACTACAGGTAGTCCTTGACTTACGATCCCAGTTGAGCCCAAAGACAGTTGAGCCGGCTGTTAAGTGAGTTTTGCCCCATTTGGACAATCTTTCTGGCCACAGTGGTTAAATGAATTACTACAATGGTTAGAACAGAATAGAATATGACAATAGAATAGTATAGAATATAGAACAAGGGTCTTCAAACTTGGTCTGAGCTGACATGACTGGAGGAGGAATTCTGGGAGTTGAAGTCCATAAGTCTTAAGGCTGTCAAGTTTGAAGACCCCTGGAATAATGAAAGAATAATAAAATAATAGAATAGAATATGAAATAATTAGAATAGAATAGGGAATAGAACAGAGAATAGAACAGAGAATAGAACAGAGAATAGAATAGAATAGGAGTTGGAAGGGACCTTAGAGGTCTTCTAGTCCAGCCCCCTCCTCAAGCAGGAGAACCTATACAATCTCAGGCAAGTGATTGTGAAATCTTGGTTTCTCCATCGCAAAAAGTGACCACACTTCAGGAAACTGCCACCCTCATAAATGCGGGTCAGTCATCAAGCGTCTGAATGTTGGTCTCATGACTGAGGGGAAAGCTGCAACTGTCGTAAGTGTGAGAAAGGGCCAGGAACCCCCTTTTTCAATGCTGTTGTAACTTCACACGGTCGCTAAGCGAACAGTTGCAAGTCAAGGAGTACCTGTGGAGTCAGAAGCGAACGTTTTTCTTCCTTTTTCTCCCTCCCTGCTTTCCTTCTCGTTATTTATTTATTTTGTTCGTTTGTTTTGCATTTTATGTCTGGATAAACTCTTAAAAGGCCCAAAGAATCTCCCAACAAAATGTGCCGCGGCCGCTTCGTTGCAAGGACTTCAAACCTATGCAAAAGTTCAGAGGAACCAGTGTTATTTTCCTGCCTTGAACACAACAACCCTCTGAAGGACTTTGCGATCCCCAGGGCTGGTTTCGTGACGCTGTTGGTTGAGTCAGACGTGGCTCTTGTTTTCCCCTGTTTGGGAATAAATTAGGGAGGTTCTTAAAACTGGGGTCTGGCTCTTCAAACCCTACAGAGAAAATCAACCTAACTAATGATTTACCTCGGAGCCAGTGACGGTGGGTCACCTTGGCAGGGTCGGCGTCTTGGTTTTAATGTCCCGCATAATATTTTCTCTCTAAATGTCCTCCCGATCCGTGTTTGAAGTCTGAGATCCTTTCTCTTCCTCTTTTGGCCTCTCTTTTTCTCAAGAATGGATGGGACGCACTTGAAATCCGGGCCTTTGTGGCATATTTACGGGTGACGTGGACTGTGGGGCGAATTAGGCCAACTTTCTCAGCTCTGGCGACCGTCCTTATCCTGGTTACATGTTGGCTGAAGGTGGTTTGATGCCGTTTGAGGCATCGTGAGGGTAGGCCAAACTGCACCGACTGAATGAATTTTCATAAAGGTACCTTATCTTAGTGCTTTTCAGGCATAGTCAAATCAGTCTAATGATCTAGTTAGTTAGAGAAAAGAAGGACCAGGGATGACACGATAGCAGTCTCCCAATATTTGAGGGGCTGCCCCAAAGAAGAGGAAGGGGTCAAGCTATCCTCCAAAGCCCCTGAAGGCAGGACAAGAAGCAACGGATGGAAACTCATCAAGGAGAGAAGCAACCCGGAACTAAGGAGGAATTTCCTGACAGGGAGGACAATTCATCAGTGGAACTCCTTGCCTCCAGAAGTTGTGAATGCTCCAACACTGGAGGCTTTCAAGAAGAGACTGGACAGCCACTGTCTGAAGTAATATAGGGTCTCCTGCCTGAGCAGGAGGTTGGACTAGAAGACCTCCAAGGTCCCTTCCAGCTCTGTTATTCTGTTCGTGTTCTCTGTTTAAAAACAACAACAACAACAACAAAGGGAAGCTTATCCAAGAGAGATCCAACCGAGAATTCAGGAGGGATTTCCTGACAGCGAGGACGATTAATCAGTGGAACGACTTGCCACCAGAGATTGTAGGTGCTCCATGGCTGGAAGTTTTAAAGGAGAGACAGGAGATGGAAATGGTATAGGGTCTCCGGCTTCAGCAAGGGGTTGGACTAGAAGACCTCTAAGGTCCCGTCCAACCAGTGGTGGGATTCAAATTGTTTTACTACGGATCGGTGGGCGTGGTGTGGCTTGGTGGGCGTGGCTTGGTGGGCGTGGCAGGGGAAGGATATACTGCAAAATCCCCCTTCCCTTCCTTCCCCACCGGCCTGCTTTCCAGCTCCGTTCTCCTGGGCAGGGCAACCCAAGGAGACCCAGCCGATCATCTGGGACTCGATGGGAGGCAGAGAAGAGTTGGGGTTGGCCGGTTCTCCCAACTACTCAAAATTTCCACTCCAGGTTCTCCAGAACTGGGCAGAACCTGCTGAACGTCATCTCTGTTCTTCTATAAACACTTTGAAACCACTTGGACTTTTTTTTTTTAATGCCGAGAAGTAGCATTGAAATGCTGTTTTGAAAACAATGCCCTGACTGAACTCATTGAGCATCTATGGGCTCTTCTTCCTTTTTAAGGTTGTGGCGTTCTCCATTATTTGGGGGGTGGGGGGTAGAATTGGAGGTGAGAAATGATTGCAAACACTCTTTGGGCCCATGCAGCACAAATGGCCACATATGCATTTTGAAAGCTACGCCGGAAGACATGCTTTTGAATCACCGCGAGTTTCTGCCAAAGATCCTGGTTGCGTTCCAAATAATGCCGCGCTCCGTGCCACTTTTTTTTTAACGTTTTTGTTCTTTTAATTAAAAACAAAATATTTTTACAAAAAATGGCTGGAGAGGGACAGGAGGAAAAGAGCCTTGTGTTCGTCTTCTTTTTCTTCTTCTCCTTCCTCTTCCTCCTCCTCCTCTTCTTCCTCCTCCTCTTCTTCTTTTTCCTTCTTCCTCTTCCTCTTCCCCTTCTTCCTCTTCCTCCTCCTCCTCTTCTTCTTC